GACTCCTCCTGAAAGAGGTGATCGTACTGTGGCAGATGGAGCGTCGCCAGGATGTACGGGACGCAGTCCTCGAGCCATGCCCAGAACATGTCCTGGTTGTCCTCACCTGGTGCCCACGCCGCAGCACACGGTATGAGCCGGGCGCGGATCATCATCAGGTGCCAGAAAGCAGGGTCCTCCTCAGGTTCGCCCCTATCGCACAGGGGAGTGGTGAGACCCGTAGGGCGATAGCGGGGCACAACAGCGGGGCTGAAGCCGCCACTGTGTGTCTGGCCAATGCCGCACGGACCCGCGGCAACGGTGCCGTTCACGATCGGGTCCAAAATGGTGCAGTGATCGTACTTGTAGATGCTGTCATCGTAGAGGTAGAAAAGGGTCCCACGTTCAGCGTGTCGCAGGAGAACTCACCTCCATGCTGGGGCGCACCGCCTGAAGACGGGTGTGCTCCAGCGAGCGAGGGGAGGGCCAGGCTGCAGGCAAGGCGCCACATGATGGCGAGGCCTGGCGGGCGGCGCGAGCGATGAGCCAAAAGCTGCATGTCAGCACGCATCCTTAGATACCCCTGCATGCTCATGTACATTGCAACAAACACACCCACAGCAAGATGACAGGTGTCCCTACACCAGATAGCTTGCTCGTGCTGCTGCCAAAACTGACATGATATAACAAGAAAGAGATACGGCGCGAAGTGAGAAGAGATGCCTCTGAAGGCGCTTCCTCGGAGGGCTGAGGCAGGCTCTCTGAGGCACCTTCAATAGGGTTCCTGAGTGGCCCGACCCTTGTCTTTGCCTTTGTCAGCCCCTGGGGGCCCCGTCCCTGGGGTGACCTGGCCTGGCTGGTCAATCCACCCGCAGACAGCCACGGGATCGGCAACTGATGCAGCTTCCTCCTTTTTGGTTTCGAGGGTGGCCACCTGTGGCAGGTGGATGGTGCCCCCCGTGAGGTGCCCAAGGAGGGCCTGGATGTCGCCACGCAGTGCAGCAGCTTCGGTAGTTGCCGTCTGTTGCTGAGTGACGACGGTGGCAAGCCCTCGTTCCAAACCTGAAACGTGCTCCGTGAGTGTGGCCTGGGATGAGAGAACGCCCGCAAGCTGAACCTGCATGTTATCCACCGTGTTGGCAAGCAGCTCGTGCTGTTGTTCCATGTGTTGGATGCGGGTCGTGGCGGCATCTGACAGTTTAGGGGCCGTAGCGAAGCGTTCGCCGAGGGTGTTCAGTTCGCGAGATGCCACGCTGAATTCGTCCCCTGATGAGAGGATCTCGACGTCGTCATCGTCGCCTGGTACCTCGGCGGCTGTGGCAACGTCCCCTTCCGTGTGGCCCCCGCCTTCAGCCGCCACCGTGCCAAGTTGCGGGTCATGCCCACCTGGTCCTTGGACGGCCGTCTGCTCGGCAGCTCCATCCGTGCCGTGCGGGGGTGCAGAGGAGCTGCGGCCTGGGGCGCCGTGTGATCTTGCGTGCGGCGTGGCGTCGCGTTTCCCGCTGGAGGATCGGTGGCGCTTGGCTAGAGGCTCCTCCTTGGGGATCGGGAGCGGTGCGACGCCCTTGCCTTTGGGCGTGGCAGTCATGAGGTCGTGGAGGTAAGGGCTCTGGGCCGCTTTGGTTAGGAGTGTGCCCGTGGCGGGGCTGAAGCCGCCACCACGGGCTGGCGGCGTCACAGGCTCTGTGATAGTGGTAGGGGTGACAATGGTAACGTTGTCCCTCTTCGGCACCACCTCAGCCAACGGGGCCTCGGTGATGCTCCACGGGATGGGGCACCCTGCGACCTGTACCGTATATGTGGGTGGGGGACGATGGGCGCGCACTAAGGCAAACTGAGCCGAAGTGGCTGGGTCCCAGGCGGTGTGGTAGACCTCACAGTCCCATTTGACGGACGGGCCCGTGAGAGTCTTAGCAAGCTGGGTCAGCGTGGCGTGGCGTGCCGCAATGCCAGTAATGCGGTATCGCGTCTTGGCGAGGGTGGCTTCACAGCCACGGATGCTGACGGCAGCAGCCTTGGCGGCGTCTGACCCTCGTGCAACACGGATCCCCAATAAGCCTGACTTGCCGTGCCTGACGACTCCTAGGGCCTTGAAGTCCACCGACTTCTGGAACGCATCTGCCATCGTGATGGGCTGGTCCTCAGGGAACCACACGATCTGGTACTTGTCTGCAGTGGGCTCGTCTGCACCTACGTTGCTGAGGTCGTAGGTGGCGCCGAGTTGCCCTGAACCCGCCAAGACCTTGTCAACCGCTTGAAGACTGACGCCGAAGGTGGCAGCCAGGGACCTCTTTCCGACGCCCGATCCATACCTGCCTAGGCTTTTGCAGGGTTCGAGGATGGTGACGGCTTTAAAGTTGCCGTGGAAGAGGGCCTTGAAGGTGTCCTGGAGCTGACTATCAAGCTCCTGGCGGCGAGCGTCTTTCTTGGACTCCCTGTGCTTTTGGTTTTGGCGCGCCTTGTCCTGTGGAGGGGTGTCCTTTCGGAAAGGACCCTTGGCGCGTGGACCACCGTTCACGGGGGCACCTCCCGAGAACTGATCCTCGAAGGCCTGATGCATGGAGGGGACTGCGGCGATGGCTTCGGTTTCATGTATGGTCACCCGAATCCAGCATACGTGGTCGGCAGGATCGATGGTGGCGACGGCAACTTTTTCCGTGCAGGCGACTTCCTTGGTGCCCAGCTGGTACACGGTCACGGGGACGTGCGTGTGGACCACTTTGGGCGCCTTGGGGTGGCGCTTCAGCACGGGGACGGCGAGCTCGGTACCGACGTAGTTATCGTTTTTTGGGCCCATGACAGCAATCGCAAGCTGACCCGTGGTACGCTTACCCTGCTCGAGATGGTGCTGCAGCAGCCGTTCACCGCTCTCGTAGTCGTGGAGGCTGATGCTGGGCTTGTACGTCTTGCCGTCATCGAGTGATGTGGGTTCGGCCAGGACTGGGACCTTCCAGAAGGCCGGGTCCAAGGCAATGAATTGGGCGTCCGCAGCCTGAAGACGCGCGGACGCAGCTGGTGGGTAGGGTGTGTCACCACCACTGCGCTTAGGCTTGCTGCGCTGGTGGTGATCCAGCGTGTAGCTGATCTGGTTGGCGGCACACATGCGGATCAAGGCACTGCCGAGCTTCTTTGTGTTGGTCTTGTGCATGTCGTACGTGGCCTGCAGCTCGTCCGCGTTCAGCTCGGCGAGCCCGTTGTATGCGGCCGTGGGGCGGTCAGACCCCGCTTGCTTGAAAGCTGCAATGCAGTCCTGTTTGCGTTGGAGGAAAGACCCTTCAGCTGCAGGACGTGAGCTCGGCGGCTGCTTGGAAGAGCGACGGCGCTCCGGCTTGGCGGGGGCCATTGCGGCGGCCACTCTGGTGGGGGGGGATAAGAGGTGACGCGAATCAGTAGGGTCCTGCTGGGACCCCTCCGGTCTCGCGAGGCCTGGGAGACTGACTCCGAGGCGGGGCGCTTCGCGTCGCGGCTGCGGTCTGAGTGCAGGGCACTCTCGAGCCGAGACTAGAGAGAGAGAGAGAGAGAGAGAGAGAGAGAGAGAGAGAGAGAGAGAGAGAGAGAGAGAGAGAGAGAGAGAGAGAGAGAGAGAGAGACAGAGGAGAGAGGAGAGAGAGAGAGAGAGAGGAGAGAGGAGAGAGAGAGAGAAAGAGAGGAAAGCGAAGAGAGAGAGAGAGAGAGAGAGAGAGAGAGAGAGAGAGAGAGAGAGAGGAGAGAGAGAAGAGAGATAGAAGAGAGAGAGAGAGAGAAAGAGAGACAGAGAGAGGGAGAGAGAGAAAGGGAGAGAGGGGAAGAGAGAGAAAGAGAGGAAGCGAGAGAGAGAGAGAGAGAAAGGGAGAACGACGAGAGAAGAGCGAGAGAGAGAGAGAGAGACACGAGAGGAACGAGGGGCGGGGATGGAACGAGGAGAGGAGGAGAAGAAACGCGGAGGAGGAGGAGGAGGAGGAGGACATGGGCACCGAGAGGATGCCAACGTTCCCTCCCTCGGCCTACGAATGTTGGCCAATGCGGCGAAATGGGTTGCCAAGATGAAGATCGACGTTCGCGTCTCCAGGCATTTTCGTAAGGCCCGATCGGGCTATCTCTACCTACCTACTCAATCAACCTCCCCCTCCTCCTCCTCCTCCTCCTCTCCTCCTCCTCCTTCCTCCCCCCCTCCTCCCCCCCTGTTTGGTCCCTCACCCTTCTCATCCCTCCCTCCTCCTCCTGCTCCTCCTCCTCTTCATTATCTTTCTCTTCGTCTTCCTCTCCTCCTCCTCCTCCCCTCCCCCCCTCCTCTTCTCCTCCTCCCCCACCTCCTCTTTCTCCTCTTGCTCGCCTCCTCCGTTCCTCATCTTCCTCCTCCTTCTCCCCCCCTCCTCCTGCGCCTTCCCCCCCTCCTCCTCCTCCTCCCCCTCCTTTGTGCGCGCTCCTGCCATTCCTCCCTGTTGGTTCTTCCTGCTCCCCCACCCGGCTCCCTCTCATTCTGGAATTGTTCCTGCTTCTCCTCTTCATCCTCCCTCTCCTCCTCTCATCGCCATTTAGTATTCCTTCTCTCTTTGCCCCCCTCCCTTCTCCTCGTGAATTCCTCGCATTCTCCAGAGGCCCATTGGGGGCCCAACCAGCTGCGCGTTGTCTAACGCTACGAACGTGCAGGGCGGCTGGGTGTAGAATGGATCCGCTTGCTTTACAGGCCAGCTCTTCCCCCGTATACCGCCGCCGCCAGTAGTGCCAGCGCTCTCAGACGAGGAGCTGGCAGCTATGATCGGTCGGAAAATTTTGCGGTGGACCTCCCCACAATGCAAATATCCCATCGCATGCGTCGAATTCTGTTGCCATGTATATACATGCGCTGATCGCGCCACACAGCGCGCCCCGCTATCATGATACCGCTAGCAACAACAATCACATCGGGACTAGCACGACATAAACGAAACAACGTTGAGTTCAAACATATCGAACATGGAAAAACAACATTGCTCATGCATGCGCTTGTTCCCATACATGACAACTAACGTACGCTTGGAATTTCAATCGCAAGTTGAACCTTAAACCTTACGCTTGGAAAACAAGCGTTTCCGACCTCTGGGGTGCGGGTGGCAGCCCAAGTGGCCCAGCTGTTCGAACACGGTCCTGACCTTGGCGTCGGAGGCCGTCGCGTTGAAGTCCCAGAGCGACTGGCGGCCCTGTCGCGCACGCCGCAGCTTCGCCAGGTCGGGCCCGAGGGCATGGGGCATTGCGTCCGACAAGACGACGCCCTCGTCGCACCCCAGAGTCTTGCTCACCTGGTCGGACTCCTGCGGGAAGAGCAGGAGGCTCCGCGCGGCTCGGCCCGAGCACGGCGCGGGCGCCACGGGTGTCTCGCGCGTGATCTGCACGAGCTCGCTCGGCAAGCGGACCATCGTGTCCCAGCTCAGGGCCAGGACGATGGCGAAGCTCCGCCAGCCCCGGTGCAGGGCGACGTCCACGGCCGCGAACAGCAGCTCCCTCGCCACGGTTGCCCGCGACGAGCCCCTCGCAAGCTTGCGGAAGCTCCGCAGCCCGGCCCAGGCCCGGGCTGTAGTGCTTCAGCGCTGCGAAGGCCTTCTCGCCCTTGTGGCGGTTGTGCTCCGAAATCGAGGCACTGGGCGAAGCTGGAGTCGATCGCCGACGCCCCGGGCGTCGAGCGGCCCCGGGCCCGGGCCCGCGTCGCAAAATCCAGGCACCCCTTCTCGAAGTAGGCCCGGGACGCGCTGCCGACCTTCAGGCTCTGCAACACCGTGAGCCCTTCGGCCCGGGCTCGCTGCCTCGCGCCGCGGTGGGCTGCCTGGCGAGCCCTCGCCCTGGCCGGGCGAAGCGCCTCTGCCCTCGGCGGCGGCGCCCTCGCCCCGGTCACTGTCGAAGGCCTCGGAACTCGAAGTCGAGGAGCTGTCGGAGTCCACCCCGCTGGCGCCCGGCCCGCAGAGGAGGCCCGCGAGGCCGCCGAGCGGGCAGGGATCATCAAGGAGCGAGTCCCCGAGGCCAGCCGCGCCAGGATGGCCATGGCTGGCGGGCTCTGGCTCCGAGATCGAATCGCCGCGGCAGCGGCGCCTCCGAACGAGCGCGTCGACGCCCCGCTGCAGGGTCTGGCGCCTGCTGGAGGCCTCGGTCGCACATCCGAGATACGCAGCATGCGTGGGTCTGCGCGGGCGCCCAGCGCACGATGCAGCCTGAGCCTAGATGGCTTGTCGGCAGGGTTCCACTCCGAGGGGGTCCATCTGAGAATGAAGGTGGTGCTGGTGACGATCGATATGGCGCGCGGCCGCTACGCGACGTGATTGAGGGCGATAGATGAGGAACGCTGTTCTCCAACCGCGAGGGCGAGCCCGAAGATGTCGACCAATATGAAATGCCGATGGCCGTGTCCGCTGCGCCCTCGCACCGCGTGGCGCGCGGCCATCAACGCTGCCCGGCCCTCGGGAACTGCGATGTCCTCGTCGCGCTGAACACGCGCACCGTGAAAGAGGACCCCCCAGTCGTTGAGCTCTCCGATCGCGGCCCCCCCGACGCCCTCGAAGCCGGTGGAGCCAGCGCGCGCACGGTGCCGGCCGACCTTGGCCCCCTCGACCGGGCCGAAGCCAAGCGCGCACTCCTTGGCCCCGATGGCGCCCAGCACCGAGCACCGGCGCGCCTCGGCCGACGCCGCGGTGCGCTCCACAAGCTCGTTGGCCCATGCCTGGCCCACCACGCCGCAGCCCCCTGCGGAGCCGGATTGCCCCCAGGAGGCGCCCGAAGCGTAGACGAAGGCGCTGGTGGGCTTCTTCGAGTCGGAGAAGGCGAAGACCACCAGCGCGGCCGCCTGCCGCAGCTCGAGCTCCACGCGGCCCCACGGCCGCGGGCAGCGGCGCCCGGCGACCCGGGCGAAAACGTAAGTCTGTTGAAAGATGCTGAGAAGCGGCCGCCTCAGCAGGGCGGCCCAAGTAAAGTGCCCCAGCAGGCTGAAGATCTCGCCCCCGTGGCTGAGCGCCGGTCCGCCACAGACAAGAGCGCGAGGCGCGCCTTCCACATCCGAGCCGGGCTGACCCCGACGCGGCCGCTGCGCCTCTCGAATATGATGCCGGTGAAGGTCTGCAGGTCCTCGGGCTCCATGACGCCCCTGCACTTCAGGCCGACCTTCTCCGGCCTGTCATCGACTGCGCTGCAGTTGGCCACGCAGCGGTCGCCGCCCCCGCCGGCGACGCAGACGTTGTCGACGCACGCGCCCGGCCGGGTCGAGCTGGCGCGCACCTGGGGCGGAGCGTGCAGGTCCTTGATCAGCGGCCCCGCGTCGATCCCCGCCCGCAGCACGGTGGCCTCCAGTAGCCTCTGGCAGAAGCAGAGGCTCCATGACCGCCCCATCGGCAGCACCTGCAGGAGGGGCGAGCCGAAGCGAGCTTCGGGGAGGTCGATGCTGATCCCTGCCGCCTCGGCCAGCTGGCGGAGCGCGTCCAGATGCGCGCTCGGCAACGAGAAGTGCTCGTCCATCTTATCTGGGGGCTTCACTCTATAGAAGGTATTGTCAACGCCGGCCTGGGCCATGTTCAGCGAAGCTGTGGGCTTCGTACCCAGAGGTTGTATGCATCCCAAAACGGGATGCTTATGAACACGCCAGTATAAAAACAGCATAAACAACACTTCGGATGCATACGTTTTGCTCAACACCCAACGGGATACAACGTTCATGGTTGTTTATAATAACTACAAATTTAATGATAAACCATAGAAACACACACATACGCGCGCCCAAAGGCCTAACACCTTCCCTGTACATAGATGGATGGTGGCTCTTTTTCAAATGGCGCGTGCAAATTCGATTGGTTTTCGTCGTCGAGGGCATGAATGCACGATACATGCCCTGCAGAGGGAGGCGGACAAACCGAGAGTGGAATCGCCTCACCATATATTGCCCATAGCGCAGAGGAGGAAGCGGACCAGGCGGCAGGCAGCAAACGTAGGAAGGATGAGGGATGACGAGGAGGATGAACAAGAGGAGGAGGAGGAGGAGGAGGAGGAAGAAGAGGAGGACGAGGAGGAGGAGGAGGAGAAGGAGGAGGATAAGGAAAGAGAGGAGGACTGGGGGGAGCCGAAGGGCAGGAGCGAAACGAAAAGGGTCAGAAGGAAAACACCAACACGAAGCTCAGAGAAGGAATCCTTTTGACCGCCCTCGCCTTGCATAACCATTTGGGCTTAGGCTTGATGATTGGCTGGCAAGCCGTTCCACGCAAGGCGTGGGAGACCCCGATCGGCCTCGCACTGAACAAGAGCGCCGGCATGTCGCTGCCCTCAGACACTGCGCCTGATGCGCAGACGGTGCCATATCAGCCTGGTGGAGTGCCTGCTGGAAGCTTTCTCGAGACCAGCGAGCCCGTCGTCTCGCCCGTTGAGATTCAGGATTCGCCGCCCGTGCCAGCTTCTCAAGCAGGCGCTGCTCCTGATGATGGTGAGGTGCTTGAGAACGATCGTGACGCGTGGCTTCGCGAGAAGGGGCACATGCGCAGGATGGATGCCGTCCGCGCCGACGAGAACGCCCAGCTCATGAGGAAGCTGCAGCAGCAGGAGGAATTGCTGCAGCAGCTCAAGGATTCGATGGCCTTCGCCCGTGCTCCACCTGCAGATCCTGCGGCGGCGGCAGCGCCGCCTCGCGAGGCGCCCCAGGCGGCGCCCGAGGCGCTCGCTGCGCCCGAGGCGCCGCCCGCGCCCGAGGCGCCCGCTGCGCCCGAGGCGCCGCCCTTGCCCGAGGCGCTCGCTGCGCCCGAGGCGCCGCCCGTGCCCGAGGCGCTCGCTGCGCCCGAGGCGCCGCCCATGCCCCAAGCGCCCGCTGTGCCCGAGATGATCCCGCAGCCGGTGAGCACGAGCGGAGCTGACAAGGCAGCAGTCGCGGCTTCCCTGGAGAGCGAGGCTGACATCGATGGCGAGATCACGGAGGCCGACGGCGATGCTACGCAAATTATCTCTGATTGTGAGCCTGCCGATGATGACAGCCTTGCGGCGTGGGCGGCATGGTCGGAGGATGCGCAGCCTGCGTGCCCTGGCCAGCATCGCGACGCACTGAGGCAGGAGAAAAAGAAGAAGTCGGTCGCGGTGGAGCAGACCAAGCCAGATTTGGATGACCAGACGGCGAAGGCAATTCGGGAGTCGATGCGGAGCGCCAAGGAGGCCGAGGAGGCTAATGCGAAGTTGGAGGCGGACTTGCTGGAGGCGACAAAGCGGTCCTTGAGCGGTGAGAGGCATGACGGCCCAATTGACAGGTCGACCGCTCCTTCGACAGCTCAGGGGCGCTTGAATTTGAAAGCAGCTTCCGAGGGCCGCCTGCGCGGACCGCCGAGCACCGCATGTCGAGAGCGCTGGCCGAGGCGGACGCGATCGAGCCCTGCCCGCGCGCGAGGCCGTCCGTGCCGAGCACGCCTGCGTCGAAGAAGGATCGCGCGGTGCAAATCATGATTAAACATTTAACGATCGAGTATTAGATTTTTAGTGGCCCCACGCCTCGATGTCATCGCCAATGTCACTGCGGTGACGTTGGCGATGACATCGATGCGAGCGTCTGTCATTCCCCGCCAGGATTCCCAGGGCAGCGGCGCAGGAGGCGCTGATGCCGCGGCTGGTGGCAGCTTCCTGGGCGCTGCCTTGCTGAAAGTTGCGATCTCCCCCTCCTCGCGTGGGAAGGTGGTCTCGAGGGGCACTTGGCCAGGGGGAGAGGATTTGTTGGAAGGGCGAGGGGGGGGGGGGGGGATGAGGAGGAGGAGGAGGAGGAGGAAGAGGCGGAGGAGGAGGAGGAGGAGGAGGAGGAAGAGGAGGAGAAGGATGAGGAAGAGGAGGAGAAGGTGACGGTGAAGGATGAGGGGAGGTGGATGAAGACGACGAGGAGAAGCATCGATGAGGAAGATGAGGATGGCAATGCGATGGATGACAGAGAACTGACCGATAAGTGCGAAACACAGGAAACGAATGAGGAGAGCAAGAGAGAGAGAGAGAGAGAGAGAGAGAGAGAGAGAGAGGGACAGAGAGGAGATGCACCACATCCAACTGACATGCAATGCAGCGTTCGCAATCGGTTTCGCCACATGGAAGGCGACTGCGAGAGAAGTGCTCGGCCATGTGAGCTTTGACGAAGAGATGGAGGAGGAGGAGGGGGAGGAGGAGGAAGACGAGGAGGAGGAGGATGAGGAGGAGGAGGAGGAGGAGGAGAAGAAGGTTAGGACGAGGAGGAGGAGGAGGATTTGAGCCCGCCTATTGCATCGGCTCCGTCTCCTAGCACTCCGCCCCCCGCCCTTGGCAGGACTTGCTGACCCCTCCCAAGCGCGAGAAGCTCGCCAAGGACGCCGACGCTACGCTGGAGAACGTGACGGACCGTCCGCCGCCTCCTCTCCCCCCGCCGTTCTTCCGTCATCGGACCCAGTGGGCGAGGAGGAGAAGGAGGAGGAGGAGTAAGAAGCGGGGAGGAGGAAGAAGAAGAGGAGGAGGAGGAGGAGGAAACGGAGAAGGAGGGTGACACGGGGGGTGAGGAGGGGTGAAGGAGGGAGGGAGGGAGGGAGGGAGGGACGGGTGAGGGAGGGAGGGAGGGAGGGAGGGAGGAGGCGGATGAGGAAGATGAGGAGGAGCAGCAGCAGCAGCAACACAAATAAGCAAGATGAGGATCGGCAGGTCAATCCAAACCACTGGTTAAGCAGAGCCTCCACCGAACACTTGGGTCTGAGCCATCTTGGAGCCGTCGAAAATCTTGGAGCCGTCGGGAACGTTGGAGCCATCTTGGAGCCGTCGACAATATAAAGGCTAGTTAGGTCGAGTCCATATCCCTTCCCACGTATCTCTATTTCTCTATATATATCTCGCTCTCTCCATTGGTGCCCGCCCTCACCCTCACCCTCCTCCACATCATCTGTCTCATTATCTTCGTCATTCCCCACCCTGGTCTGAATCCTTGCTAGAGGATCATATTGACCCGTCAGCTGTTACAGATCGTGGGGATGTACCACGCGGTTTCGTATTCGGCATGTGCCGCCTCCGTAGGGTTTCGGCTCCAGCGCTGGCATGGCGCAGGATCGAGCGCTAGTGAAGGCGCTCGCACAGGCGCGGCACTACCACATAAATTTGCGCACCAGCAACGAGGGGGGGCACAGGGGGCTGAGTAGTATTTAGTTGTGGGGGGCGACGTCGGTTCTGGCCAGTTGATACGACTTCGCCCCCCCTCATTGCTGATCGCTTGCAGAGCCCAGATCAATTTTCTCACAGCACGAAGGGATGCCACGATGCTGAGTTGGACTCCGCTGCGATCGTGGCCCAGTCGGATCTGATCAAGGCCACGCGCGAGATCACGAACACCATCAGTCAGTCGTCGGCAGTCGAGGCGCTCATGAAAGTGGCTCAGAAGCACGAGTCCGACTGGCACATGGCCAGCGACGCAGCGGGTTGGGCCGTGGATAAGGCCAAGGAGCTCCGCAACATGTTGCGACACGTCGCCCAAGCGGTGCTGCGGCCTGAGAGGCTGCTCGAGCGGTCACCTTCGATTCGAGTCAGCGATTCGGCGGGAACGGCGTCAGCCTTTCGAATGATTCGACGCGATCGATTCCCGAACGCTCCTACGGTCATATCCGCGTGCTCTCCGCAAGGGCGAGCTCCTGGGCAAAATGTTTCCTGGGCGAGGATCGGCAGGGCAATCCTGGCGTATACCCCCCACACGGTTTTCCTATGTGTCGGGGTTGAAGGCTGAAGGGGGGCAGGATGAACCCGCTAATGTCATCGCAAATGTCATCGCGATGACATTTGCGATGACATTTGCGATGACATTTGCTGGCTCATCCTTGCCACCGCTAGGACTCCGACGGCGCGACCGCCACCCCTGTAAAAAAGAAAGCTAAGACGATCGGCGAGGCGGCTGGCTTGAATGTCCTTGCTGTCGAGAGAGGCTGGAGGCTAGGACGCGATGAGGGCATGCAGGCAGCGGGGCCAATCCAGAACGGCTCTGGGTCTGGGCGGAGATGGGGGGGGGAACAGCGGAGGAAGAGACACGCAACGGGTGGAAGGCTGCGGGCAAGACCGACGAGCAGGATGAGAGAGGCGGTGGACTGGGGTGAGGAAGTGGAGAGGCGGAAACGTTCTGGATTGGCTCCAGTAGGCAGCGTGGCGGATCCACAGAGCAGGCCCCAACACCCCAGAATACGCCAGGACACAGTGTGAGCCAGATGTTCCAGAGCTTGTGGCAATTTGGCCAGATGGCATGCGGTGGGAGATCCCAGGAACTGCAGCTGCCGAAGTACAACAAGAATCGAAACCTGGTCAACACGCGCTTGTCAAACTCAAGGATCCCGCAGAAGATTGTGATGTAAAGTGCGTGGTGGTGCATCATGGACCCCGTGGCCAGTGGTTACAGATTCTAAAGAGCACTGGCAAACAAGTGAGCCAACTTCAAGGTGTCCGTGACATCGAGGCGGCGAAATCTTTTTTCGCTGCCATTACGCAGGAGTATGCTGCTGGCACTCTCGACAAGGCCGCGCTCGAGGCGAAGAAGGCGGAGTGGCTCAAAGTGAATCGGAAGGAGG